AGTTCAAGGTTGTGACACGTGAAGATGTCAGGGAGGCATATATTGCTGCTGGTGACATTCCTGATAAAGATGTTTCCATGCTCGGTGCATTGTATTTCATCACTTCATATTTACTTCCCAGGGATTACAAGAAAGTTGTTGAACATTACTTGTTTGTTCTAGTTGAAGACTTTAATAAATGAACATGTTCTCCTGGGGTAAATCATTGTTTGACATGCTTATCAGTTCACTTAGGGAGGGGTTGAGTAAGAAAACAACCCATTATAGATTAAAATGTCTTTTGATAGTGTTTCAAGTATGAATGTATGTGACATTTCCTAGTCTCGAAGGATGTATAGCTACAAGGATTTCAAGAGAGTATCCCCGGGCAAGGAATTGGACAGTAGATGATCACCCATCGGCTACCAAGCTTGAAGGACCCGATTGCTTTTTGAACCCGGATGTACATGTTTAAATACAATACAAATTTGCATGTCACATGTACATATTTTTAAGTCACATATCACAAAAAATATGTCACAACTCATTTTCATTAAGTCACAAATGATACACTATGGGCCACAGGTCATTTTCATTGAGTTACAGACACATTATTGCATCCTGTATAGGATCATCTCACATCGCATATGTTAAAAGTTTAATGTTTTGAATGTACACCCAATTAGTATTACAGGTCAACATTCGAATTGATGATTGGTGGATTGTAGCATTTCTGACATTACATATTTCGATGTATTTGGAATGACAGTTGAAAATATGTGACTTGGTCTCGCCTGACACTGAAATGGCAATGTCATACTTGTCCGAAGTGCAATATATCAAATCTATCCAACCAAAACTTTCACGTGTGGAGAAGATAAATGACAAAAATACGAATAGATCAGTTCACCAAACCGATACAAGCAGGAAGTCATGTTCCTTTGGTGTAAAACCATCTACACCCCTTCTCGTGATAACTGATGGTAGAATTGGACACAAAGATATTGAAATTGATGATGATGATTTTGTGGACCCTCCACTCAGATGGTAGTTTTGATGCAAAATGACACAACTTACTTTGTCACTTGCCTATGAGTACCTAATACAATGTTTGAAGCACATGTTTGGCCTTCTGTAATGTTCCTAATTTTAAACATCTCTGTTCTGGCCAGCTTTGATGCTCCGCATATCCAATCATACTCATCATGACTACACTTAACAATGTAGTCTTTCTTGTCTGACCGAACAACTACAAATTCAAACATATTTTGGATTGCATATAAGGACAAGCTCAGCTTCAGAATCTCTTTGTTACAGAAAACCACTCCTTTGTCTACTTCTCTAGAGTCAACTACTGATAAAATCGTGACCACATGTTTGAAATCGTGACATGATGATTTTATTATTGATCCACATATATCTGTTAACATATCTAGTAATGAGAATTCCTTTTCATTAGATTGTACACAAATTGGTATTGTGATACGATGTTTGATACATTCTGCAACCGTGACCTCAATTTTAATTAGAAGGGTCTTGATGCATATTCTTCAACACCATGTATGACAACACATTATTGTCATTCTTAATTGAGACTGGAGGAGATCGTTAACCAATTCATAACTCATTATGACTGCGACCTTAGTAGGATCCAACCCAAACTCTGTCATAACTGTATCTAGAAGCTTCGCATACCTTCATTTATGATCGATCAACACTAATGATAGCTGTGATCCCTCCATTTCTGCAAAAAAAAATTCAACTTAAATAATATCTGTGAATAATAAAATTCTAAGTAACAATGAAAACACATCATACTTTATTAGTCAAGGTCACCTATTGTATATCTATAGGTCACATTACATATTTTGAAACACATGTGTGACTTTGTTGCTGACATAATTTTGATTCAGAATAAAATCATGTCACAGTTTTTAAAACTGCATGTCATATATTATGAATTCAACGTGAACACTAATGGTCACGAACATATTAGACGATTCGAAGCACATGAGTGAACATGTCACTGACTTTGATCTAAGCTAGAACAAACGACACTATTTTTTAAAAATGCAGGTCACATATTATAATTTCAGTTTTTTTCATGAAACAAATATGGTCACAGATTAATGCTAATAGTCACAATATAATCACTATCAGTAGTAGAAGTCTTCATCAACTTCACTCAATGGATTTTTTCAAATAGAAATCATTAAATCCTAATCAATCATTAAGTTGTTTTATTAATATCAATTCTCTGAATTCCAATGTCATAAAGTCATCTACTATTAATAAGAACATTGTGACATTACACGAACATGTAATTAATTGATTTAGAATGACATACCCTATCTATACGAATCTACTGATTTAGAAGACGATTAACGTAGTGGAATATGTTTCATGAATTGTCCAATTTCTTGGTGGCTATAATCTCACTGTATTCTTTGAATCGTGACCTAGAATTAGAAATTTGAAAGTTGTTTTCTTATTTTTGAAATAGTATATAGTAAAAATCCGAGAAATGATTTTTTCCCTTCTTTTTATTCTTTGAGTGGAAAGTGGAAGATACGATTGGCCCTTGTTAAGTGTTGATTAAAATAGGATTATAATTTTCATCAAAATCAACAATTAATTTTAATAACTTATTTTATGACATTATTTATTTTTCAACCATATGTTTCATTAACTTTTATCAAAATCTACTAAAAATTCGATTTTAATCCCTACCAAATAGTGACTTGGCATCAATCATCTTCTTATTTGACCAATTAATATCCTTATTCAAATAACTAAACAAAATAATAATAATAATTGTTTTAGGAGTGGGATGTGGGCGAGCAAAATGGCTTCATTAGCCACTAAACTTATATCTCCATCGCATTTTACTCATTGAACTTTAAAATACTTTCAAATGGTCACTAAACTTTTATATATTATTACACTCCATCACTCACTCATTATGTTTCATAAGTCGTCGAACTTTAAGATGCTTATAAGTGGTAATTGAACTTTAACATGTTGCATTCCATCACTAACTCACCATATTTCACTAGTCACTAAACTTAGACAGTAAACTTAGACGGACGTCACGCTTTACTCATTGAACTTTAAAATTCTTTCGAATAATCACTTAATGTTTTTTTATTAAAATTGATTTTCTATGATATTTGACCTAAATTAAAAAAACAAATATCAAATAGATAACAAGACTCTAAATTTAAGACGGAATATAGATATTGGTCTATAAGATATAATTTCTCTAGTCGTTAAAGGTATGTTCAAGGTGATAGAAGAATGCTAGTTTCAAATTGATATAAATTTTAATTTTCATTATAATATTCCTTTAAGTAGAAAAAATAAAATAGACAAGGTTTTTTTTTTTTCCTCCCGATTGAGATCGTAGACCTAAATAAAAAGATAAAATAAAAATTATATCTCAAACGACAGTAAAATTTTTTGATTTAGAGTCAAGAATATTTTTGAAATAGTATATAGTAAAAATCCGAGAAATGATTTTTTCCCTTATTTTTATTCTTTGAGTGGAAAGTGGAAGATACGATTGGCCCTTGTTAAGTGTTGATTAAAATAGGATTATAATTTTCGTCAAAATTAACAATTAATTTTAATAACTTATTTTATGACATTATTTATTTTTCAACCAAATGTTTCATCAACTTTTATCAAAACTTGGCATCAATCATCTTCTTATTTGACCAATTAATATCCTTATTCAAATAACTAAACAAAATAATAATAATAATTGTTTTAGGAGTGGGATGTGGGCGAGCAAAATGGCTTCATTAGTCACGAAACTGATATATCCATCGCATTTTACTCATTGAAATTTAAAATACTTTCAAATGGTCACTAAACATTTATATATTACACTCCATCACTCACTCATTATGTTTCATAAGTCGCCGAACTTTAAGATGCTTATAAGTGGTAATTGAACTTTAACATGTTGCATTCCATCACTAACTCACCATATTTCACTAGTCACTAAACTTAGACAGTAAACTTAGACAGTCGTCACGCTTTACTTATTTAACTTTAAAATTCTTTCGAATAATCACTGAATGTTTTTTTATTAAAATTGATTTTCTATGAGATTTGACCTAAAGTAAAAAATAAAAAATAAATATCAAATAGATAACAAGACTCTAAATTTAAGACGGAATATAGATACTGGTCTATAAGATATAATTTCTCTAGTCGTTAAAAGGTATGTTCAAGGTGATAGAAGAATGCTAGTTTCAAATTGATATAAATTTTAATTTTCATTATAATATTCCTTTAAGTAGAAAAAATAAAATAGACAAGGTTTTTTTTCCTCCCGATTGAGATCGTAGACCTAAATAAAAAGATAAATAAAAATTATATCTCAAACGACAGTAAAATTTTTTTGATTTAGAGTCAAGAATATNACAGTAAAATTTTTTGATTTAGAGTCAAGAATATTAATCAAGACTGACAAATGTTTTTTTAAAATTGTCAATTGAACTTAAATTGACATAAATTTTAATCTAAATTATAATCTACCTCTACATTGAGAAAATAAAATAGATAAGTTATTATTGTGTTTTTAATTTCGATTGAGATAGTATATCCAAATAATATATATAATACTGACAAATTATAATTTTTAAATTGTTACAAATTAATTCAAGATGAAAGAATGACGCCGTCTTCATGTATGGTATTTTATACTTCAAAATTTTTAAATATTTGAATCGTTAAATTTAGTGATTAAAGTTCAATGATCACTTGAAAATATTTTAAAGTTAAATGAGTAAAGTGTAATTACGGTATAAATTCAGTGACTATTCAAAAATGGCGACTGAGCGATGAAGTGCAATATGTGAAATAATCACGGGAACATGTTTGGTGTGGGCCATTACCACATATTCATTTTAGCTTGAAATCTGAGGGTCATTGTTTGTCGTAGAAGGGTGTGTAACGTGTGTTGAATCTCCATAGCCGATTCTTCCTCAAAAAATAAGAAACCCTATACAATCATGAACATCAGTAAGTATATCTACGATGATGGAATATCACATGGATCCTTAGAATCACGGCACCCAGTTGAATCCTGCGCATTCCAGTTGCAGACGTGGAGACCTTTTCAGCTTCCTACTGGCAAAACCCTAGAATCCGATTCCGCTAAACCCAACTCCGGCGTTACCGGTTATACTGGGCTCCAAGGCAAACGACCCTGCCGGTCCGACCGCACAACGTCGTTTTCCATTGGCGCCATCCTTGACATGTCGAAGCTCAGCCTTTTTGACGACGATAGGCCACTTACGGCAGCTCATAAGCAATTGTTCGCCAGGAAGCGTCGCCGTAGGGGGTCGAGGTCTCTGTCAGGGAGAAGCAGCGATCGGAGCGGGACTCGCCGGCGTTGCTGCTCGGTCGCGACGTCGAGGGCTTATGGGACTGCTTCGGATCACCCTATGGTGGCCGGAGGAACGGATTCGAGTGGGGAGCTGTTTGTGAACGGTGGAGGGGATGCGAATTGGGCATCTGATGTGAGTGAGGTGGCGAGGAATCCAAGGAGAGAGAGGGAGAGCAATGGGAGTGGCGAGAGGGAGAATGTTAGTAGTGGGTATGTCCAATTAGGTCATTTTGATAGCCAGGGGAATGAATCTGGGTACGGGAGTGAGCCAGGGTATCGGGGTGATGTGGAGCTTGGATATGACGATGAGGTTGATGAGGAAGAGGATGATTCGAGGCTTTTGTTTTGGGGTGAAGAATTTGGAGGTACCTTTTACTGTGTAACTTGTACTTTTGCAGGAATTTGGGATTTTCATTCACTTGAGATTTTATTATTAACTTGCGGTGTACAATTTCCTTGTTCTTGTCTTAATTCTGTTTTCTCTCAATTATATCAGTGCATTGAATTTTCGAAGATCATTATAATCCAAATTTTGTAAATAATGCAGTTAATGAGTAGAAAAGTTTAAGTGGGATATTTTCCTTTGTGAACTATGCTTTATGCAAAGTTGCTAGTGTAAGGTGAGTTAAAGATTTGATCTGGAAAAATAAATCTCTGTTTTTGGCCTATATCAAAGCTATAATTACAAGAGTAGAGAATGGTGATGGATTACAAATTGGGGAGTATTGATGAAATTGACTGCTCTCTCAAGCAGTTGTCTTGCGGAATTATGCTTTCTTCTAAAGATTAGCAGTGTGTTTAAGCATGAATAGTTAGGTCATTGTTGAAAAGGTTTGAACGTCTAATTACCATTTGCAGATAGTGAATTTCTGATGTCTATAGTATATGCTGTTAGTTCATTGGATTCTTATTGCTTGATGGTGAAATAAGTTAAAAGCTAATCAAAAGACAGGAATGTAACAAAAATTGTACTGAGGTCATAGTGTATACACCTTTTGTTATCACGTGATAAGTAGAAAAATAATTCAAGTGAGTCCTCGAATTAATGCAGTCAGTGGTTGCTTTGCCTTTTGCTTGATTCTATCAGTCACTCTCTAGTTTTATTACCCGTTCTTGTGGTTAACTTTAGTTTCCGTAGGTTTCCTATGTAATTGCAGTTGAGTGTAAAATCCAGTTGCTGGTTACGCTGCTGATTCGGTCTGATACTAGCGTCATTGTGGCTGTTGCTTTGTGCTTCATTATTTGTGTCTCTTAGCTTATGCATAGGACATGCTTTTAAAGTCCTGAGGGTATCTATACTATGTTGGGCTATTGTACAGTGTAGAATTTGTTCGGAGTCAAATACATATTGAATCATGAAAAAGTTACTTGCATTCTATTGCAACAATCTGTATCATCTGCTGCTATTGAGGTAAAAGTTTGTTGTTGCACGAAAGCTATGCAATTGCAAGCTAAATTGCTATCGTTGCACCCAACTTGTTCCTCCTTTTGTCCTCATGCTCCCACCTTTATTTATTGGCATTACTACCCTATATCTTTTAAAAATTAGCTCTCCTCATCCTCAATAACGGTTTTTGTCTAAAAGCGCCATTAAGTAAGAAGAGAGTGATGAATTTTCCCTCAACATTAAAATATCCAAAAAAAAAAAAAAAATGTACCAAAAACCTAAAGAAAAGGTAAAAATTATGAAATCTCATCTTCTTCCTCCAGAATATGATCAACAACCTTCCCTCAACCCCATCCCCAGCCTCCACCACCATGGCTGGCAAAAAATTCTTTTGCTTGTTTATCTGCATTTGCTTCAATGTTCAATCTTCTAGCTCCTTAAAGTTGACCAGAGAACAAAACTCTCTCATAATTCACTCTCCTTACCCACAAATAATTATTTACATCCCACTAATCTTTTTTCCAACCTCCACTCCTAGATTCCACGCTTCAGTGTGGCCTCAAAAGCACTCGCCTAGAATGCAGCGAGGAATGTGGAGCAAATGGAGCAGCTTCACCAATCACCAATTAGATTTGATATATATTTTTTTTATTCAGAATTTTTGGGGTTGCTGCTGGATGAAAGAGTAAATAAAGTTGCTTCTCCAATCAGATTTGAAGCCTTTTTTCCATTATTTGTTGATTTTATTTTTCAGATTTTCAGAACTTCCAAAGATCCATTTATATGTTCAATTTTTTAGATCTATTTCAGGGGCTCAAATTTTATGATTGTTGGGGGTGCTGCTGGACATTGAGCAAGAAAAGCAGAATTCTTTGATTGAGGGTGGTGTTGACGGAGGGTACTTGGGGTTCTGGAGAAGAATTTGGTGACGATTGCAGTGGTTAGAATGTGAGATTTTGGGGAAGATAACCATGGATTTAGAGGTTTGAAGGATATTGCTTGGGAAGATGATGAATTTTCTATGTTTTTATTTTCCTTTTTTTGTTAAGTTTTTTTGAATTTTTTGTATTTATTTTAAAGTTGAGGGATAAATTAACCTTTTTACACTTAAAAGAGCAGTTTTAGACAGATACTGCATTGAGGAACGGCAACGCTAATTTTATGAAAGGTTGGGGGTAGTAATGCCAAGAAATAAAGGTTGGGGGTAGTAAGTGCAATAGGAGGTACAGGTTGGAGACAGACAGCTGCATTTTATCCGCAATTGCTTTCTAGATAGTGTATTTCATTTTGATACATGGATTCTACAAATTCAACGCAGGAAAATTATCTTGGTAGTATATTGTATTGTGTTGTGTTGTCTTCTACACGTAGCATAGCAGATTATTTCCATGTTTCAAGTCAATGAAGTATATGGTTAGGATCTGGCTTTTTGTACTTGCAAGTTTGTTAAAAGACAAATGCATGTTCTGAAATGTTGAGGAAGATATCCATGTTTTAGTGCCACAAGTTTTCAGCTGTCTCTGTAGTAAACAGCATTGGTGAAACTAGTTGTCCAAGTATAATTCTGTTCAACAGTTTCAATTCGATTGACGAATGAAATCTCTCTACAATTTTAGTTGCGTGATTGTCTTGGCAGGGCGATTGGTCTTAGAACGTCTGATTTAACTTTTCCCCGAATACTTAACCACCATCTTGGGGTTCCAATAGTTGAGCAAAGGTTAGAATTATTGAAACAAACTAAATGCTGAGGAATGCTGATGTTGCCACTTTACGTTAAGCTTCTTCCTCTAATTTTATAGGCACCAATTTGATTTGGTAAAGTAGATCAGATGAAAGATTTACTTCCGGTACTTTAAAGGGTTTAAACCAAAAATGCAACTTGCGACAACTCTTTCCTGCCTCAATATCAATACCTTGCTGGTATTTATTTGTCATCTTTTTCATGCAACTAGGTGGATGACATCTTGATATTCATATTTTTCAAATCAACCTAACTGCTGGTGTGCTGCTTTCATTTCATTGTTCCAGATTCTGGTTCAAAAACGGAGAGGGTTGGTCAGAACTCATTGCAGAAAGCCCATCATAGGTGTCGGCGTAAGAAACATGATTTGAGAATGATCGATCCCATAAGCTAGGTTGGTCTTCTTGTGATTGTGGCTTCTTTTGGTCCACATCGGAAAGGAAAAACAATCGCTAGCAAGGCATGATACAGTGCAGATTCCATCTTTTGATAAGCTCTTCCAATTTGTTGGATCCCGTATAAATATATGGCAGTTAAAGGATTTCCTTGCTGCAAACTAGTATTCTGCAAAAAAGGCTTTGTCGTGTGCATTTTGGATTGGTGCTTGGTTCTGGAAAAATGATTTAGAAATTCTGATGTATAATTACTTCTGTGATATAGTTTTTTCCCCCAGTATTGCAGTATGAAGTATGATTGATGCCTCAAATTTAGTACAATTTCGTAGTGGTGTTAAAAATCACATCTTCGAATTTTCCATTTACATCTGTGAGGGTGATTTTAGCTCTGGAAAAATGTCAAATCAGTATTGTTCAACAATATTCATTCGAGTGTTAAAACTGGCCTGAATAAAGGGTTAAAAGGGGACCAAACTAGTTATTAAAACTATATATTCACAAATTTTTTACTACAAAAGTTAATTTTTAATTTTTCAAATTAATTAATATATATAGGCATAAAGAGCTTCGCTATATTTAGCTCATGTTTGTCTATCATTTTTCAAAATATTAGGCTCTGTTTTCTTTGTCGTTATCAAGTCGTTTTCTGTTTTTAATTTTCCAAAACAGTAAAAACGCGTTCTCTTCTTTATTTTCGAAAACGCGTTTTTGAAAATGAAAAAAAAAAAAACCAAAGAAAACACAAAATGACTAAATCCTCGTTTTGGAAAAACTTGCAACAAAACAAGCAAATTGGCCAAAACACGGAAAACGCATTTCTGAATTCTCTCTCTATCTCTCCCCTCTCCCGTAATGTAAGACACTCTGGATTTCCTCTCTCACAAACCCACAGGCCACAACCCAAAATTGAAAACATATCGTGTTGCCAAATCGAAGGGTTCTCTACGGGATCTTCAAATGAAGGTTTTGAGCTCGCCTTTCCGAATCGAAGGCTTCTCTTTCCGTTCTGATCTAGAGTATTCATATTCTCTATATATTATTGTCCTGTTAATTGATTTACTTCAAGATGTTGTGATTTTTATGCATTTTTGATTGAATTATTCGTTCAATTTGGTACAGGATCTAGTTCCGATTCTTTACTTCAGCAAAACCGGAGGCAAATTTTGGTAAATTACGAGATCCCTTTTTGATCATTTGTACTAAATTTTGATAAATTTGGTAAAGGTTGAATATTGAATTGTGGGTTTTACTTGTTTTGAAAATTGGGGTAATAGGAAAATAATAGAATGTTGAATTTCAGGTTTGCTTCGTTCGAAAACTGTGGCAAAATGGAAAAAGATCGAACTTTCACTTGTGGGGTTTGCATATTTGGGTGTATTGGTTGAAATGTAAATGAATGTAGCTAATGTACTCGTTTATGAGAAGAATTTTATTATTTGCTCAATTAATAATTAAAAAAAATAAAAGTTGAATTTTATAGCTTTTCTGCAATTTATACCCTAAGGAAGCATTTTGAAACAATGAGAGTTTATTCTTTAGCAATGATGATTTAGTTATTACATTGTTTTGAAATTTCAAATATTGATTATACCAGCTAGAAAAGTATCGATTTCACTTGAATTTCTTCTTCTTTTTTCCGAATGTAGATTGCTTCATTTATTCTTTGAGTAGTCTAAGATTTCTTTCCGTGGATACAGCTGCAACCTAAGTCATTATGTAGACCTTTTGTTTCTTGCCAGAATTTCATGAATACAGGTCAAAAGTGATTTCATCATGCTTTCATTTTAGTGAATTATTGCAATTTTTCATTTTTGGTTAAATATTTTTTTCTGGTCTTTTGTTTATGTTGATGATTAATTTTTGGATTTTAATGCAGCAAACTTTGGATGATTTGCATTGAAATCGGAAGTTAGTGAGTATGTTTGATTAATCTGATTGTTTGATTTTGTGTGTGCTCTTGATTTGGATTCGTTGTTAAATTAATTTAGATTGATTGAGCTGGCTTAGAAATGAAATAGCAATGGTATAATTGTTTTTATTGATCTTTTTTGGCATGTTTAAGGATGAAAATGGAGTTAAAATCTTGTTCAGGATAGTGTCCAATATATATAAGATTCTTGAAGTTTTGGCAATCTTCTATTTTGCAGATGAAAAATGGCGTCAATGGTGGTGAAGGATTGTAGTTATAGTTCCAGTCAAATTCCAGTTATGACAGTGGAAGAAAAAGGAAGTAGGACCAAGAGAAAATACCGAGCAGATCTGCCTCTAGCAGACCCTACTAAGATCTTCCCTTCACCTCCAAATGAATGCACAAGTTTCGAATTCTCAACTGAAAAGTTGGAGATTCCCCGAAGTCGTGGGCATGCAAACAGTTGTGACATGTGTTGCATGACCTGTGATAAATCTGATGCTTTGAAACTTGATCTAAGATTGTCATGTGCGGTGGAAACATTGGAAGTGGGGCCAAGACAACCTCAAGAGGAGATGGAAACATTATCGAATGAGTACAATGGTGCGAATTGGAGTAAATCTTACAGAATCCCAGCTAGAGGACTTGTTTTGAGTGATTTGGATGCAATTTTCAAGAGTGCAATTAAGAAAATAATTGCTAGTGGTTATAGTGAAGAAATTGCTACAAAGGCTGTTTTGAGATCTGGCCTTTACTATGGGTGCAAGGACACTGCATCAAATATTGTGGATAATACTTTAGCATTTCTTAGAAGTGGCCGAGATGTTGATTACTCAAGGGAGCATTGTTTTGAGGATTTGCAGAAGATGGAGAAGTATATTTTGGCCTAGTTGGTTTGTCTTCTAAAAGAGGTTAGACCTTTTTTCAGCACAGGGGACGCAATGTGGTGTTTGTTGATATGTGATATGAACGTGTCAGCATAGAATAATTGTCCATATGAATTCAGAGGAAGATGCAAGTCCAAGTGAAAATTTTGCTCTGGAAGTCATTTGTACATTGGTTCTCATATTGTGCATATTATTATTTAGTCATGTCTGGTAGCAATGAAAATAGCAATGACATATTCATTTTGTTCCAAATGACTATGTGAATCCAACTGATTGATTTTTAGATATTGACAATATTTGTGATCTGTCTTTTTACTTGTAAGTAGTTTATCTATAATTAAGGAGTAATGTTATTTATTATCACTTATGAGAGTCATCGTATTTAGACAATCAAAATTGTATTTGGCAAGAATTGTGAGAACTAACATGAACTTGATAAAATTGATTTAAAATATTTATTAACATGTCGACATGAGATTAGTCCTCCCCTTTTTTGCAACTTGATTAAGTTTGATTGTGACTTGATGCTAATTAATTATTGTCACAAGTTACGTATAAGGACAAAAATAAAAATTTGTCAAATTTAATTTAGGTTATGTTTTTTATATTTGGAAAAAAAATATTTCAAGATTCATCAACTTCAAAATTTATATGTTATTTAATACTATATTAACATTAAACTATTAAAACTTATTGAATAATTAGATTTCTTGAATAAAATATTATTAAAAAAATTCTCAAAATTTTAAAGTAAACGCGTTTTCCATTTTTATGTTTTCAAAAACAGTTTTTTAAAATGGCAAAAAGAACACATTTTCAAAAATTTCAAAATAGACACTCGAAACACAAAATACAGAATGAATTCAAAACTCAAAATACAAAACTGAAACACAAAGAGAACAACCCCTTATTTTTTACAGTAATCAATCTCCACCACACATTCAAATAATAAAATATTCTACACATAAACCAATAAAGTTTCTTTCAATTTTAACAATACATTCTCCAAAAAATACTATTCAAAACATCATTCTTTCTCCCATAATGGGAGACAAACAAGCTCTTAGTTTTCAGTCTACAAAGGAAAACGAGATTTTATGTTAACGGATATTGACGGAAAATGAGACGACAGATATAAACAAAAGTTTCGACAAAGATGGATTGCTTAAACGTTTATATCGCATTTTAGTGTGATATCTAGCTATCTGCTAGCAAGAGTTAATAGTGAGGTATCAATATTTTAGTATAGGGACAATCAATGCCGTAGTAGATCTCTACTTTCTGTTACTATGTTAAATCACATCACAATGAACAAGAAAGGATTAAAGTAAGTCCACACGTAGGATCATTTCGGTTATAGTATCTTAAGATGGTTAGGTAGCACTTGGTTTACTCCTGCAAGATGCAGATGACATCCTTAAAACCTTGCTATAACCAAAAGTAGATCATAAGACTAATACAAATCCATTTTGAGAAAATTGGGGAACAGACTCCATCATTCTGCGAAATTATCAGTACCCCCGAAATTTTACACACAACAAGAGTATTACATAACTCTAATGCCGTTTGGGTATCAAGGAGGAACATGTACACTAACTCTTCAACAGACTTCCACAATCTGATCAGCCACATGATCATCAAGCAATAAAATGACTCTTGATCACCAAAACTGGCTCCAAGAGTACACACTCGAAATCGTGGTGTATCATGGAAAAATCATCTAGTTGATGACAGCTTGAACACAACCTGAGCAATCAAAACCATCTCAGACATTTCCTGAGCAAAATGGAACCCATTAGTATCGATCATAGATCTTAGTTGTTGTGTGCAGTGCAGTATAAGAATTTTGGTATATTGATAATCAAAATTTCATGATCGAATTTGAATGTTTTCGGTATAGATCGTGATGCATCAAAATGGATCATTCAACTTCAAAACAAAAAAATCTTGCTAATTATCTATGTATCACAAGACTTGGTTTGTTACCACTATTCAATACATAAAACTGGGAAGACGAATATGACAGCTCGATGCAGTCAATTGCAAGAGTCGGCAGGTAGAATAAATGCTGTCTTCATTGCGGAATTGCAAGCGTTGGGCGAGGTCTGACTACGTTTAGCACCCCTCTAGCAGTTGTCTGCAATGATAATGTGAAGATATTAAAACATAATTATCAGGATGGACTAGTGTTATAACGCTTACA